TATCTCAAATGAGGCTATTTCAGAACAATCGCAGAGCTACGAGGTAAGTTATAGTTACTTGGATGATAGAAGGAAGGAAAATGTGCAGACCACAAATTAATTTGATAGTAGATTGTCTTTGTGCATAGGAGATCCTTGTTTTAAACGGCGGGAGTTTACGATTTACCATATTTTAGTTCTCGCACGAATCTGGCTGGTAAAGAGACTCGGTAATTGTACAGTTCTTACCAGCAAGGATAAGGTGATAAACCGTTTAGTTTAAGAATAATTTAGCGGTAACGAGCGTCAGTTAACTTGCCGTGTTTCTCTTCATCCTGCCAAAATAGTCCTGTGTGCAATCTTAATTGATACTTTCACCGAACGTAAAGTTCCCTAATTCTTCTACAAAACGTGACAGTATCGTAAAATGACGGCTTAATCGAGAGAGTCGCTCTTAAATATTGCTCGTAACATTGATTGTGATGTCTCAAAGCAAATTATGATAAGTTTCAAAATAATTTAAAGTGAAGACCTCGTCTCTAAATTTCAATATCTTATTAATAAAGTTGTACAAACATAAAGTAAGCAATAGGATATTTATATAGATGGGTGATATATTATAATTTTTTCAGAATTCCTTGCGTTTTATTCTTAGAAAAATTTTTCACAGAAATTGAAAAGGATACGAAAATCATCATAAATAATACAAACATTTGAAGCCCCTCCTTCATTTTTTGTGTGGTAGTGCGTTAGACTGCATTGGTGAACGAATTCACCACCCATGAACAAAAACGGAGCCCCTCGTCGCACAACGGAACCCACACAGTAACTCAGTTCATGGATTTTCGATACCCCACGCAAAATGTACTCGCCACGCGTTACATTATGAATGCATGCGTCAATATATGAATACTTTACGCCTTGAGCACGTGCGATCAAACGCGTTTTTATGAAAACACATAATGAGCTCCTTATTTCGTGTGGCTGCGTAATAGTTATATATTAGGGAATTCATCCAAAAATATTTGCGGATATATAATGTTTCAAATGTTATATTTTTTAAATATATTTTGATATATCTATATATGTATCTCTATATCTATATATCTCATATATCTATATAAATATTAATATTGTTTTTATTATATACCTGATTCTTGAGAATATACAGTATAATTAATTTGATAACACAATAAGTATAATTTTAAAAGTGTAGACGTCTAATGTATTTATAATATAGATTTTTATTAGCTATGTCAAAGCTTATTTCTAACTTCGAAAATATTTTTAAAGCGAAATCCAAAATGCGATAAACGATAAATAACAGCGATTCTAGAAAAGAGTTATCACGACGCACGTGGTATGTGACGGTGTTACACGTCGGTGCTTGCGATCGGAAGCGACTAGATATTATTACGAGACCATGATATACGAGCGCGCGCGGGAAGAAAAGCCCCTCTTTATGTTTCCTTTTCGTTGGGCGATCGTGAAGCGGAACTTCTCCTCGCATGACGTTATCTCGCGCGACTCACCGGAAATCTGCACTTAAATCGCGCGAGCTCGAGCCGAGAATAGAAATAAAACCGCTCCCCTGTGCAGCAAATAAATCTAGGGCGCGTTAATCGAGGCACTTCTATGCCGAGGTATCGTGGATTATGCATAAACATTAAGTATTGTGGGGTAGCTATTCAGTGTCTTATTAGATGTAAACGGAGTCGGATGTTACGATCATTTAGAATTATAATTACTCATCTTTTTACATTTGTGAATTACTGATACAATAGATCGCTCGAATATTTTAAATTGATAAAAGTAAATAGAAGCAATTTGGAGTAATCACTCTGATCTAAAAATCTTACTGTTTATGGTTAATGTAGAAGATAATAATCACAATTTTGCTTTTCTAATTAATCAAATCTGAAAAATAGTATTGTTATGAAGAAATCCTGTATTCAAGATATACCGAGTAGTTATACGGAATCGAAGTAAATATTTCTTCAATGTACATTTCCACACTGAGTCAACATCCGAAAATACGTGGTTTGTTTGCGTAGCCGAGCGCGTAGAATTGATACGGTTAACAGAACGGTAAAAGCAAGTATGCATCTGTCTAGCGTCAATTAACCAGTTCGAGCGCATCAATGTGAAGATCTAAACATGTACACAGTAAAAAAAATTGTGTATTTGTGTTGGAAACGTCCACTCATGTTCTTGTTAACAATTTATGTTAAATTTTTTAACATATTCGAGTGTTAATTCAACATAATGTGATTATGTTATTTAAAGATTTTATGTTAAATTGATATTTCTTAGTGTCAAATTATGAAATTAAATAGTGACATTTCTTAGTGTCAAAATGACAGAATTTGTACTCTAAACTTTTGGGAGTGAAATTTTACTCCCGAAATCCGGTAGAAGTGAAATTTTTACTCTTAGAGAGTGAAAAATCACTCCAAGCGAGAGTCAATTTTCAATCTCTGTAGAGAGTGAATAATTTCACTCTCTGAAAGGAAAGACTGAAAGTAAATGTTAAGTTTTTAGCTCTCCTACATCAAATCTTGACGAAATTGGGCTCAACGCTTCGACGCATTTTTGCACAAAACGAGCGAATCTGGCAGAAAAAAAGCGTTGCTCTGTCTCGCGAAACGAGATATTACATAATCATTAATATTGACCTTAGGAAATTTATTCCTTAAAGGAGTGAAGTGAAATTCACTTTTACCGGACTGACGCAACTATCACTTTTCTCTGTAGAGAGTGAAATTTCACTTCTAAAAATTTAGAGTGTATATGAATAAGTGAAATAACGTAAAAACAGTGTCTTAAAACATAAATTTTAAGATGAACGAATAAAATGTGGATTGATTTAACATATCAAAAATGTTAATTTTCTGAAAAAACAAAATGCTTCCACGATTTGTTTAGAAATTGTATCGATATTAACTTTTTTGTATTTATTCTCTTACATAATATTTGTGCATAACCTAACATATTCATCTTGTTAAATTAACCCAAAAATTTAAGTGAATTTTGGGACATGCGATTTATGTTAAATTTGACACATTTTTTCCAACAGTGTACGAATATTTGTTGTGAATTAGTTTTTTAACGAAAGGTTTGAGAAATTATATTTATACGTATTTAAGCGTTTGATACATCTTTATTGCTGTTCAAATTAGATTTGCTTACGTGGACAATTTAGATACTACTCTAAGTGACAGTTTATCTTATTGAGTAGTGCAATTATATAGTTACATAATTTTCTAATAAAGTCTTAACATTTCGTTATAGTTTCCATTCGGGGTTGAATTTTCAAATTCAAATTTGTTATAGCTTCCATCCGGGATTGAATTTTCAAATTTAATTGAGTCCATGATGTCGCGTCTCTTTCTACCTGCAGTTGCTGCTGTGGTGGTAGTGGTGGTGGTGGTAGTGGTGGTCGTTTTACGGCATTTACGTTTTTTACAACAACACTTATTACACCTGCTTTTTTTAAAAAAGAAGGATTCCTTCGCACAGAATAGAAAACGTCGTTACTTTTAGGAAAATCATCGATAAACGGTCATGTTTGAATTAAGACTTACGGATTCCTGGAACATGGTACACGCCAAGATCGTCAAGATCAAGAACACTACTAATAATCTCATATTGTAATCTTGCGCTGCTAATTTTGCACTGTGAATGCTTGCGCCGAGTAGCACATTTATACTGTGCCGCTAAATAAAAATTTATTTGTTAAGCATCGGCAATGAATATGGTACACACCTGTTTTGCCATTTGTCGTAGCTCATTGTTAAATATATTCCGTATAAAAAGAATAATAACAACGCATCAATATGTTCCGCATTCTTTTAGGCATATGTCGCTAATATGATGTAATTGTTGCACGCATGCGGAAACAACGTCGGATAAGTATATTCAAATGAATTCCGGTATTACAGGGAAAAACGTGACTTTTAAAATTTAAAAAAAAAGACGAAAAACGAATAGACATTTGTTAGGTCATATTTATAAATTTCTGTTTTTCTTTAAATATATAAGCCCTAGTAGGAATTGACTATCGGCGAGATTACTGATCCAGTATCAACATTTTTACATGTCAGTACAGGTATGATACTAAAGGAATATTGAGATGATAGCAATGAGTCAAGACTTGTAATACAGTACGAAATTACTGTACTAAATACAGATACTCCAAATATACTGGCGGTGTATTGTCTCAATACGGACATCTGACACATTGTATTTGGATCATTTCAGTATAAAGACACAATACCGAAAATGTACTGATAATGTACTGGATCAATACTACTATTCAATACTGATCAACACATTGAACTAGTACTATATCATTGTTTTTAAAATACTAATCCAGTACTGAAATAGGAAACTCATTTTTCAATACAGGATCGATACTTTGCCAGAATTCAATACTGATTTATCTGAATTTTCACTTGGGAGGCTAAATTGTTATCAGCATTGTAGAATACGACTGAAGTTTGTGTATAAATGAAATAAAATATTATATGCACTGAAAAAAAATTGCAGATTTTAAATAAATATTTACTCCAATATAGTACTGACGAAATATTTATTTATAGTAAATAAATATTTATTCAAAATAAAACAGTTATGTTTAAATCGATTAAATATATGTTTACATTTAGTAAATATTTCGTTAGTACTATTGGAGTAAATATTTATTTAAAATCTGCAAATTTTTTTTCTGTGTATATATATAAAAATGATTTAAAACTATTATAAGTACATAAAAGAATATATGGTACAGCAGTATTTGCATTTAACTTAATGCGACTTGTGAGTACAACAATTGTTTCATATCAGCGACATATGCCTAAAAGAATGCGGAACAATTGATCTTTTGTTATTATTCTCGTTATACGGAATATGTTTAACAATGCCTACGACAAATGGCAAAACAGGTGTGTACCATATTCATTGCCGATGCTTAACAAATAAATTGTTATTTGGCGGCATAGTATAAATGTGCTACTCGACTCAAGCATTCACAGTGCAAGATTAGCAGCGCAAGATTACAATATGAGATTATTAGTAGTGTTCTTGATCTTGACGATCTTGGCGTGTACCATGTTCCAGGAATCCGTAAGTCTTAATTCAAACATGACCGTTTATCGATGATTTTCCTAAAAGTAACGACGTTTTCTATTCTGTGCGAAGGAATCCTTCTTTTTTAAAAAAAGCAGGTGTAATAAGTGTTGTTGTAAAAAACGTAAATGCCGTAAAACGACCACCACTACCACCACCACCACCACTACCACCACAGCAGCAACTGCAGGTAGAAAGAGACGCGACATCATGGACTCAATTAAATTTGAAAATTCAATCCCGGATGGAAGCTATAACAAATTTGAATTTGGAAATTCAACCCTGGATGGAAACTATAACGAAATGTTAAGACTTTATTAGAAAATTATGTAACTATATAGTTGCACTAAATAAGATAAACTGTCACTAAGAGTAATATATAAATTGTACACATAAGCAAATCTAAATTGTGAATAAAGATGTATTAAACACTTAAATACGGATAAATATAATTTCTTCAAATTTTTTATTAAAAAATTAATTACAAATATTTGGTATAGTAAATAAATCTACATTGATAGAAACGGACAATGCCAGAAATTAAAATCATGGTAATATGGATATTAGCAGCGATTATTGCAGTGAGAATTTTTCAGAATGACTTTGTCGTCAAGAAATCCACAAAAAGTCTCTTTTATTCTATCTCGCGGTTGGTACATGTGACGTATACCAATTCCGATGGACGTCAGCCGAAAAAGAGGGTCTTGTCTGATTCGACATTTGTACACAACATTTGTACCGATGTGTATACTCGGTCTTTTGGGCCTGACGCATACGAAATGCTGGTTTTTCTCGTAGAATTATGGCCAGTGCATTCAACAAATTGGCGATTTTTTTTGCACGATACTGGGAGGGAGGGTTCATTGACTTGCGTCATGTTTCTGGGGTCTGAGGACCGTCTGTGTGGATACGAAGGAAAGCTTTATTGATGAGATCGTTAATACGCCAGATCAGCGAATGTTTTGCTGCCAGATCGGACGTCTATCCGTCGCGATCAGCGACCACCCGATGAGTCGATCGTCTTCCTTTCACCCGCGACAAAAAGGGACTCAACTTCGGTATACCAGTCTCTCTCTCTTTCTCTCTCTCTCTCTCTCTCTCTCTATCTCACTCTCTCACTCTCTCACGCGACTCATTTAAATGTTGCTTTGTCTTTGTAACATTCTTCCGCTTGACGTATACAATCTCAAGTCGCTAATTTAGTTCCACGTTTAACTTGATCGTTTCTTTTTAAATTGACATACGATTAAAAAATTTTTTAAAAACCTTTTTTTCTACACATATATACCTATATAGTATAGAAGCTTGCAGCATTATTGCTGTAACGTTATTAATAATGTTATTGTAATCTGAAATAATCTGCGTTGTATGGAATATCTGCTTTATTAGTTTAATTACGATTAAATTAATTCCACTTGCAATTGTCTCTCCAAAGAATTCTTATAATTGTATGAAAAAATAGAGTAAATCAAAGTCATGCGCGCGCGTTCTGACAACATAATAATTTTATACAATATAAACGATTTTTTGTCTATGTTTTAACCCTTAATACAAACACTTGAGTCATTCGTGTCGTGCATATTTCTTTTTTTTTTAAACTAGGGACCTCACGTAATTAGTTATAATGTTTATATACAATTTTTTAAAATATGCAACCTTACTATATTTTCTAAATATGTTAAAGAATCACTTAATAATTTTTGTTATATTTATTAAAGTGATGAAAATTAATTTGGGACACGAATGACTCATCATGTGTAATAAAGAACCGGAAAATCATTGTATATATTAAGGATTAAAATTGATAAAAAGATCCTATGCTGTCAGTATAGTACCACGGACATGCGTCAAGTGACACGGGATAACGCAGAACCTCCGTGTAAACATTTGACCACCAAGATTCGACTTAAGAACCCTGCATGGTATTGATTATCATCGTCGTGGCGGTACATCTCGTCTCAATACGTCCATCAGATCGCTCGCACGTAAGCTGGGGCCTTTTTTGCAGCGTCGACGACGTCGAGCCTCGGAAACGAGAAGAAGACGAAGAAAAAGATGAAGAGGAAGAAACGAAGACAAGTCGTAGTGAATTGGGTCCGCGAGTCTTATCCGCGGATTGGCAGACATCGGCATACATATTGCATGTCCGATGGGGACATATTTATTGGCATCTCTCTATACACTCTATCGTCGAAACATGACTACACCCCTCGAGCCCTTCTCCTGTGCCAACCCCTGTTGAAATGAATAAAGTATTCCGTGTTCTTGGTACGGTAACTCTTTTTGCAATGCCGCGCGCGTAGGTTTTGCTGTGACTCGTCGACGCTTTTGCGCGGGAGACCGGCGCTTCGCGAATGATCGATGCTGAAATTATAGCGGACTTCGTCTCGACGGACTCCGAACTCGGGGAGATACAGCGCATCCGACTTCTTCTTTTTCGCGTCCGCGCTTTGTCCCTTTCTTTTTCCTTATCTTGTAGCTTGGAATATTACCCGTTCTGAAATCCAGAGGGATTTCACAAAGTGCTCGTTCCACATGGAGGAGACCTATTAATTTAGCGTTGAGGTTGCGAGCGAGGAAAAGCGCAATCGATCGAATGCATGCGAAATTGCGGTGTTTCGAATCGCTGTGTTTCGACGCGGATTGGTTACCTTTCGTTTTAATCCCGTATGATTTAACTCTGCACACGTCGTCGAAAAATGTGGTCGAATTAAACGCGAATCCATATGAATTCTGAGGGGACAATATTGATTTACCTTCACTTGAATCATATGAATGGCTCTGTATTGTATTGTAAATTTAAATTGATAATATGAATAGATTTATCCTAGTTATGCTTATATTGATCGTGAAGTTGTTCGATTAAATCACAAATTAAGATATAAAAATACTTCTTTACTTCCTATGTTTTTAAATGAATTCTATTATATGTAATATAAATAGTATTTTTCTATAATTGTTACTATAATATTGTTTACAGTTATATAATATTGTTTACAGTCGGGCTTCCCAAAAAGTAATTCCCTATAAATAATAGAGAAAATACTAGATGCCAAGTATTTCTTGACCCTCTCACCATACATTGTCGGCTTATTATTTATCTTACCCCGCAGATCATGTTACTCTCAACGATATCTCTAATGTCGTGATCGATTGCATCCCGTATTCTGTTTCATCCAGTAATCACAGCGTATATGTCATACTCCATGAAGAAAGTTGTTACTTGTGGATGTTTTTGGGGGACGCGATGACTTAGTCATACAATAAAATTAACTACTTGTCGGATTAATCGCTTTAAGGGTCAGTCTATTTCACGAATACTGACGTAGGCAACGCGATATGTTATGTATATAATAAATCAGTTGTATATTTTATAACATATATTAGATTTTAGACATTCCGTTTTTTTTTGCTTTTTCTTTCATCACTTTTTTTTTTACGGAAAGAACGATTTTGTTGAAGTATCTAAAAATTTAGCTGGATCTGAAAATAATTTTGTTGGACTATCAAAATAGTTATTTGGGACGGTAAAGCATAATGGATAATGCCGTAAAAAGTTTTGACATTTTAGAAACCAGCTTGAGCGTCTTACATAATTATTTAACAAAATTATTTTCAGCTCTATCTAACTAAATTTTTAGGTACTTTAGAAAAATAGTTTTTTTTGTATGTATTTGATACAATACTGTTCAATCTAGTATCAATTATCGCACGTCTTAATAATTTATTATGCGATATCGTCCATTTCACCTCCACGCCTTCGGGATGGAAGCGTGTAACTGCGCACGAGGTCGACAGTTATCTCACAAGCTTCTCGAAGGCGGGCGAGCGAGGAGCGCCAGGTTATACAATGGGACAATCTCCGACTTGATTTTGCGTTAGGCGGCCGAGATTGGCAGTCCGCGTTACTTGCCTGCCAGGCAGGGCAACGCCACGCGTTGTGCTGTACGTACGTAGGTATATAGGTACAGTAGCGGCGTGGCGATGTGATCCTGTCGGGCACAGGACTACGTTACCGCCCCCACGATTACAGACGAGGAGGACGACGAGAGCGAGGACTAGGATGGGGGCCATCCCAGAACGTCTCTGCCTCTGACAGCTCGACTCTCCCTCCGTCCTGGTCTACGCCGTGTCTCCTCCCCGTACCCTCGTGTGCCCCCCATACTTCATTCTGTCCCTGTCTCAGCTTTCGCGCATCCCGTACATCTCTCTCGCTATCTTCACCTATCGCCGCAGTAGGATACATCGTGTATAGGTCGCACAACGGAATTCTCAGGAAAGGCGATTTCTAGCGATAGTCAAGTAATTCGCTGTCCATTAAAGGTTACGTTACAAAAAGATATATTTAAGAGCGTCATTAATTCACATAATTACTCATGATGAAACGATCCTTTTCATCTTTCTTTGCATCTTTTCCTTTCTTTAGAAAAAGGCAGTGAATCAATTAAATTGTGTTTACCAACGCGACAATCGGCCGCGTGTGATTCCAGATTAATATGTATTCGATCGTTCGTGAGATTAACGTGAACTGTTTTCGTCGCTGTTTTTATGAAGGGGAACAACGGATTAGTGATGGTAGTAGTATTTCCAATTTGACTGGACGTCGAGCGCGGACTGGAGGTCCGCGGACCATTCGCTCAGTCCTTTCTGGCCTAGGGTCGCATTAACATTCCACCACCAAAATTATTTATAGCTTCATCCGAGATATCTCGAGATGTAAATCAGACATTCCTCTAATTTGGGATCCTCGTGCGGTATGAGACTGCGTGCGTTCGCGTCTATAGACAGTTTCGGACGTGGGTGTAACGTATCATTTGTTCATCGGCTGCGTGACGGTTACTCGGAAACCAAGTTTGGAATTGCAATAAACTTCGAGATTAAATCAGAACGCATATATATTATACATAAAACATTGTCTCTGAATATCGCGCAGCGAATGCAGTCTCATTGATTATTCTCTTGACGATAAGTCTTGAATCTAAATATTCGAAGGAAACTAAAAAGGAAACTGAAAAGGATCACTAATTACAAAAAAAAGGTTTTAGTCAAATTGGCTGAAACTAATATTTTGTAGCTTCATAGAGATGCTCATCAAAAGTGTCCTAAGTACAACCATCAAAAGTGGACAGATTTTGTCGTAGTACCATTTGAAAGTTGTTATTTTAGGTTTAATCGGACCGGAAAGATCACTGAAAGAGCAATTTTGCTGAAGAATCTAAAAATTTAGCTAGATACTGATCTGAAAATAATTTTACTGAACTATCAAAACAATTAGGTAGTCATGCTTAATCCTTGAACATCACACTATTTTCGCCACCTGATTTCACC